AACCTTTAAAATAACATAAGTTTTAAATAATTATGAATCATAGCAATATAAAAATAATACTATTAATATAATAATTATAACTTAAGTTAAATAAAACTATAATAAGACTAATGTATAACAATTCTATAAATAATTAACATTAATATCAAATCTATTTTACTATCTATTTACTACATAGCAATAGATATACTTTATGAGTATAATTAAATAATATAAATAAATTTTACCCATATCTTTATTACTTACTAATCAAGATAACACTTTAAGATAATAGTTTTGTCTGTATGCGTGCACATTTCATCAACAACCATATTTTAATTCAAAWGTAAAAATGTATTGTTATATTTTTAATTTTAATTTAAAGCAATGTTATTTGTATGGGAAATTTTAAATGTTTATTGAGCTCAGGTAGGTTTTAGGGATAGGTAGGCAGGTSCTGTGCAATTACATTTTGATATATTTTATGACTCACAGGGCACCGGGAGGTTAGCTACCTGTGMTAACTTTTTGTAAAATTTTTTCAAATGCAAAAATTTTTCTCAACAATGATAAAATTTTCAATTTTTATTAAAATTATTTAAATATATTTAAAAATCTAAAATTTCTAAAAAAAAGAGTTTAGACGAATTAATGTGTATTGGTACAGTATTTTGTTACATTAGGTTAAGTATTGTGATGTATAAAAAATTAGGCAGCCATTCAAATTACTAATGAGGAATAATTTTAAATTAGTAAAAGAATTGCACAGCTATACATGTTGCGCGGGACAAACTAGTAAAATATATAATAATACTTAATATAATGTCAGTAAACAAATTTTCTATCAAAATATAAATAAATTTTAAATATTTATAAAAATAACTCTTAAAATATTACATTTTTATTAGTAATATCACATAATAATATTCAGTATTATTTATTTACAATAAAAATGTTATAAATTAATAAAAATAATTACTACTATAGATATTACGATTAGTAATATATATAAAAAAAATAATTACAATTATTGTATTTTTATTTTATCAATTAAACTATTTAAAGAAAATATTTGATAAATAATTATATTTTAATTTAATAATTTTATGTTTATATTTACTTCAAGTTTAATATTGCTTTTTTAAATAATGTTATTTGTATTAAGTGTCAATATTTTGATATAAATATTTTTTTTAAAAATGTTTAAATTATATTCAATGATTAACAAGCTAATTATAATTTTGTTATTTATCATAAAACCTACTATATCAGTGTTCAATGATAATACTACTAATAATATTAATAATAATATACGTGTGGCTATAGATCCAGAAATTGACATTGATACGATTGGACATAATTTTACTGTAAGTTATTAAACAATAACAATAATACTGATTATTATTATTTAATAATTATTAAAATATATTTATATGTGAACTATGTTTTTTTTATTAGAAATTGATTAACAATGTAGCTAGATTATTTTGTGAACGTATTGGACAACAATATCCCAATATAACACTTTATCCAATTTCAGAACAGGAATTTCAATTACCATATTATATGAGTGATATGGATATTATTATTRTAAAAATAAATGGTAAAAATATTTTATTTTACAATAATATAATATATTATATTTTTATTTTATATAATTATTTATAAATTTTTGATAATACAGCAATTAGCTCAAATTTAGTAAAGTACTATTATTAATTACAGACAATATATTTTCAAGTTTTTTTATTATATTAATAAAAATTTTATTACATCTTAATAAAACAATTTAAAAATAGTATAAAATTATATATATTTTAATAGATAAACGTTTAGATAATAAACAGATTTATTCGCTTTCATACGATGTCTGTGGCAAACCTTCACTATCTATTGTAATCACTGAGCCGTTAGCTAACTGTGCGGATAACGAGTGCGCAGAACTGGTCTTTACTGAATGGATCCGATATAAGTACGGTGTGTTCAGTAATGATACCTTTCCCGATGATGATCTCTATGGAGACAATTATACTATTGTGGGAACCATAGATAATAAGTCTGATAAACCAACTAAGCAATCAATATTATGTAATGGAAAAAGCATACAACAAATTATCAATGAAAGTAATAATAATAATAATAATAATAATGAATCAAGGTAACACTATATATATATATTTGTAAATAATTTAAATTAATATATTAATAGTTCTTATAAACAATTTTTATGAAACACTATAAATTTTAAAATGAGAATTATTTTTAGTATTGTATAGTAAAAAAATCATATAATTATTTGTATTATAAACAGATAATTATAAACAGATTATTATCAATATTTATTTTTAATTAATTAATTTTCTATATTACTATATTTTGAAAACTTTAAATGAAAGTTGCWTATATAATTTATTTACTTTAAATTACTCAATTAAAATAATTATTAATTAAATTTTTGTTCATTTATTAGTATCCAAAATGTAAATAAACATAATAACTGCATTAATCCTATAATTATTATCGACAATCAAACAGTAATGCAAACATTAATAATAATACCATTTACATATAAAATGCGATTGGATTCACACCAAGTGTGGATAGAATTGGCACTGGATAAATTTTATATTAATTTTCCATTTAGCATGGTCAAATTGGCTTATTATCATAAAAATTACTCATTAGACAATGATTGCGATACTAGTATTATAAATAAGACCGATTGGACACATGTTATAGAGATTAACGAAGATTTTAAAATAGATTTATCAGACGCTACCGATCGCTCAGTTGATATTAGTTTGAACTGTCTATTAGACTACGGTATTGAAGAGTTTCAATATAGACTTGAAAATAACGAGTCGGGTATTTATGTAATAATAACCGACGGCCAGAGTGTGTTTCACGATAATAATAGCACATTGATTGAAGAGAAAGCAAAACAATTAAGAGAATTGAATATTAAAGTAAAAATAATTGTTTTTCAAGTAAACGATTGGCGCGACGGTCGGGTCGATGCTTCCCATCAATTCAAGATAGTAGTGGACATTACCGGCGGTGAAGTGGTATACATACGGCGGGACAGAAGCGAATCAATTTGGACACCAAAACAGATTATGAAAGCAATGAAAAGTCATACATATATGTATCATATGATCAAAGAAGAAATTTATGAAGATTACGAAAATACTATTGATTTCTCCTTTAAAATTGATAAATCATTAGTCGATAAAGAGATCCGTGTTTTTATCATCAGCAGAGAAAATAATATAACAAAAACTGTTTCACTATTTGATCCAAATTATCAACTATTTATGTCAGAGTCAGAGACAACTAAAGTCAGTGAAAATCTTATGTATTTTAATTACACAGTAAATAATACAATGGTTGGCACCTGGCATATGAACGCCTCAATCGATGCCCAACCGTCCAAAACTACAACTATTATGGCATTTGCCGAGTTTGTCGCCCGACCTTTTGATCGGAAGGCCATTGTGGCCGAGTGTTGGACCAATACGGTGGCCGAACACAACCCGCTAAATGATTCACTAATTAAAGCATTTGTGAGACTTCATGTGGGCTATACAAAGCTGGTCACCGATGTTAACGTCTTATTTATGGGTGTTGACGAAAATGGATTAATCCATTCGAGAAAAGGCTTCGATGACGGTAAGGGTGATCCAGATTTGACAGCTGGTGACGGCATTTATAGCTCGTATATCATGAATGGTGGCAACACTGGATTTTACACATTAATGGCTATTGTGACAAATTCAAAATCACTGAATGTTGTCTACAATTTTGGTAATACATTAAATAATAGTAAGTGTTGTGGATCTAAAGTCAATGGACAGTCAGATCTAATGAACACAAAGATCGAGCGTATAGTTGACTGTGGAGTCATATTTGTCACCGAAAACTTTAATACCAGAGACTATCCGCCTAATAATGTAAAGGATATGAGAGTTAAAACAATTAATAAGAATAATATTACGATTGAGTGGACGGCACCGGGAGGTGATATGACGGGTGGAAAAGTTAATAACTATACGATAAAATTGTTTAATCAAAATACTAACAATCGTTGTAACGAGGGTTTATTGACATCCATTAGAAATGATTTTAATAATATATTTGGTTTTACATATAATATCAATACAACTATAGATGAGAACATAACTGACACTTACGGTAATAAAGAGAAAGTTTCAATAGATATAACAAATCTGTCGTCCGGTTATTATTACGTGGCTTTCAAAGCATATGACAAATGGGGACGAGTTAGTGGTGTATCCAATGTCGATAAATTTTATGTATCAATAGGTTATATTAGTATATTTTATACAATTATTATTACGATTATAATAATTTTGATATTAATATATACCGTATATACCGTATATATATGCTGTATATATGCTGTATATATGCTGTATATATGCTGTATATATGCTGTATATATGCTGTATATATGCTGTATATATATATACTGTATATGATATATATATACTGTATATGTTAATTTTAATAGTAAAATTTCAGATAAAATTCCTGGTTCAAATATATGGTTCACATTGTTTTCAATAATACCAATTTGTATACTAATCATTGCTATCTGGATATATCATAAACGGGATGGAAAAAAGCAAAATAATATCGATGATTGTGATAATGAAAGTCACATTAGTGATACAATAATTCAAATTAAAAATGTAAAATGTGATAAATGTAATAACAAAACTAATAGACATAAACGGCAAACTAAACTAAAATGTCTAAGACTTGCTATGAAAAAACATAAGAAAATAAAACTAAAATCAAAACCAAAATCAGTAAATGATAAAGGTACATTATTTATATGTATTATCAATATTTATATTAATTATTATATTTATTTTGTTTAGATATTATAAAGATAATTGATAATATTAATAATAATAAAAACGCCTATAGATACTGGTTCAATTTTGTGGATATTAAAACAATAGGCCAGGGTGGTTTTGGTAATGTTAAAAGCGTGTTGTGTCGTCAGGATAGACAATTGTATGCATTAAAAATTATAAAGTTTAAAGGTTTGCTATTTATTAAATAATTGATTGAATTTTATTAATTTAATGTTTGATTTAAAAAGAGTAGTCGACTATTTGACAGTTAGGTTATATGTTGGTCATCAGAGAGAGAGAGAGAGAGAGAGAGAGAGAGAGATTTTTTTTGTATTAATAGTTTATACTGTAAATAAAATAGTATAATAATCATTAACGTAGTAAAAGTATAGTACATATAGTCATTTATTAAAATTATTATTAACAGTAATTGAAATAATTTTGTTTTATGAATGTTTTTAAAGATAACTCTATGGATAAATGGTTAGACAAATGCAAACTGGAAAGCAATTATCTGTTATCATTAAAGTCGGAATTTGTTGTCAATTATATGGACAGTTGGCTTGAAGTCGACACATACTATATTCAAACTGAATTATGCGACTATACTTTGAGAGGTATAATGAATGCCAAACGGGAAGTGTTTGATCGACAAAACAAATCTAAACCAATGAATATCATTGAAATGTTTATATCAATTGAATTGTTGGTTGAAATGCTAGACTGTATTAATTATATACACCGACAGACACCCAGTATAATACATCGGGACATTAAACCGGAAAATTTTCTCATAAAATTGGTGGCAAATGGGGGACACTTTGTCAAGTTAGCCGATTTTGGTTCGGCTATTGATCACAGCAGCGACAGCTGTCATAGTTTGAATGTCGGCACCACTATGTATAGTGCACCAGAAATATTGGTTGGCCATTATAATACCAGTGCTGATATCTACAGTATGGCTATTATTGTTGATGAACTGTTTGACATTATGATTGTTAGCGAGTATGCAATTTAATCAATTGATGGCTTAAACTCTGAAAATGCTTATAAACTAATGACTATTATTTAAAAAATAGTATTAATCCTTAAACAACTGAAAAACTTTTTTTTAATTTATCACTTAATTTCAAACATTTTTACAAATAGTTTAATTCAAAAGTTTACATAAATTTTATTCATAAAATATGTTTTATTAAATAAATATTTGATTAAAATTTTTAGATTTGTTAGTAAATATTGTTATTTGCAGAAATATTATATTTATATTTCTAGAGTTTATATAATAGAAAATGTTTGTTTAAATTTAATTTAATTTTTATAAAATTCATCAATTATATTTTTGTTAATTTATTAACTTTTTTTTTAAATCTTTAAATTAGCTCTAAATGTGACGCAAGATACAGTGATAAACAATTTAGTAATAAATTTATTGAATTAAAACAATTATATGAACATATGGTACAATATGATCAATCAAAGCGACCCACTGTACGCCAAATATTGTCTAATCGTATAAATTGGACTATTGATTGCAATTTGGTTATTGAATATTACGATTACCAACAATTGTATGACAAGTTAGCGAAATTTCACAACAAATTTTTTATTAAATTTCTTAATCGTAAATTGCAAAATAATTTAGAAAATTATGGCAATAAATAGTTAAAAACAGGTATTTAACAGTTTTTTTTCTATTTCATAATATTGTAATATTTTTATTATTKATATATATAATATATTAAATAATAAATATATATTAAAAATACTATAAATTTTTAGTATTTCAAAAATACATCAAATAATAAATATACGATATTTTAAATTATTTATTTAGTGTATTAAAGATCTGGGCTAAAGCACCGGACGTATTAAGATATAGTAACGACAGGTTTTTGCCAATCAGTTAATTGCAGGACAACTTCATCGTCAGATTTTCCGCTATTATCATAAATCCAATACTGTTTTGATACTAATGACAACAATAAAACTATAATTACAAACATATCGGACATTTGGATAAAATAAATCATCAAATTTACTATTATTTAGAGCTATTGCTGCAAATAATGTTTGGTATATTTTATATGATAGTTTGCGGCAATTTTGTATTATTGTTATAACTTGCCAGTGAATATAGTCATTATTTTATTTTTAGATTTAAAATATAATCTCTAAAAAATTTCTAAAATAAAATTTTTTAAAATTATTACGAATTAAAACTTGATATATTTGATAAAAATATAATACAAATACAAAATAATAACAATTAAATTGTAAACAATATATATTTATATATAAATAATATGTATTAGTAATGTTATTATATATACTGTAAATTATGTTTTCCATATTAAATATATATAACAAATAAACTCAATATTAATGACAATTAAAGCAACAATAATGCCTATAATCATAGGTCCCAATGCTATCTTCATGTCATCCAATATCATGTAATATCTGTCTTCAACAGTGAAGTGATCGTTATTTTTAGCAAATTTGTTAATAACTTCTTCAAACATTTTATCCATTAATCCATTTTCACGGAATATATCTAATCTATAATTTAAATATTACAGTATATCTTTAATTTAGTAATATTTTATGTGATTTTAATTTAGTAATAATGTAAAATATTAATACTAAATACTGTGTGTACAATAAATTATAGTTATACTAATATTAAAGTAATACATACATAACTTTTAAATCATTTACAAATACTTGATTTGTTAAATCTTTTTGAACTAAAACTCCATAGCATTGTTGAAAATATAGTTCATTAGCCAAATGAGCGTTTAATTTATTAAATTTATATTTTAATGCATCAGCAAAATATTCATTACTTATTAAAACATATTTTTTGTCAGTGATTATCGAAGACAATAAATTTTTAATATTTTTGGCAAAAAATTCTGGATAATTAATATCAATAAAATGTTTATTATATTCATTTAAAGCTTTGTTCAATATTTTTCTTTCAATTTCTGTCCCTTTATTCTAAATTAATTTTTATAAAAAATATTTTTTAAAGTACAACAGTTATAATTTATATATTATACATACTAGTATACTATTAATTTCAATAGTTTGTAAAAATATTATTGTTTTCAAATATGATTTTTCATTCAAATCATATAACGAGTCAATTGTAGTAAATTTTGTTTGAATATTTGTTGATAGTATATCATTGCTAATAAAATTAATGGCAAAAAATTTGATTAAATATAATGATCCGAAAATAAATAAATAATACGACAATTTATTTTTAATTGAATAACCTAAAAAAATATAAATTATTATTATATGAAAAATATTTAAAATATTTATTTACCAAGTAAAAATATTGAATTACTAACAGACCATATATTTGAAAATATATTTTGCATTGATGATTTTGCTAAACTAAAATATAAAAATAATAAGTTTACAAATAATATTTAAATATTATATTATCAATAAACTTACAAATATATAGATTTATTAGATACAACTCTATATGAATAAATAAATGATTGAATCCATAAAAACACTAATGATAGTATACTGCTTACTAACATTAATATCCAAAACTATTTCAAAAAAAATGTTAATTACTATAAAATAATATATCAAATAATTTATTGAATTGCCTTAAAATCAAGAATCCTATAAAATCCCAACAAATCATTTGTTTGTTGGACGGGATATTTACCGCCAATTATAGCAATACTTCGCGATATATACGGTGAAAATGTTTCCGCAAATTCAAACATATCATAATTTAAATTAATTCTATCTAATGATATCATAATTATCTATAAATTTATTGTTAAAAAAATAACAACAATAAGTTTATTATTTTAACCATAATCAATATAATTATAGTGTTTACCTTATTTAGTAATAAGTTTACGATAGATGTTAAATTATTAACTTTGTTTGATAAATTATTGGTAATGTCGTAAAATATTATGCTAGATCATATATATATATATATTAAATTTAAAGTAAAATAAATAATTAAATATATATATATATCAGGGTTATTCAAGGTTTTGGATTTTAGGGGGGGGTAGGCTGAAAATCTTGAATGGGGGTCTAGGGGGTCAACAGAAAATTCCCATGTAAATTCCAAAAAGTTCCCATAAGTTGTCTTATAAATTCCCAGAAAAATAGATAAATTTTCCCAAAATATAAAAACAAAGCGACAATTTTTTCAATTTGGTCAAATAGTCTGGAGGTGGTAAAATCCCAAATTCTCGATCTTAGGGGGGGTATTGTGACCTTACACCCCTACCCCCTTACTTAACCTTGATATATATATATTTAAAAAACTTACCCATAATGCGATCGTCTAACTAATTCCCGTAAAATAAAATATCGTGTTGCGCATAATAACAATTTGTTTTCCAAATAAAGCTAACAATTACATTTTAAAAATTAATTAATAAAGATTTATTATTTACTTATTAATTATAGATATGATAATTAAAGTCTATTAATTTATTTAATATGTTATTATTTTAACTTACAATATTTGAWGTATATACAGTAATGTTGCCAATTGGATTTAATACTAAATCAAATGTATTTAAAGTATTTACATCAATCTTCATACATCCAAAATTAGCTTTAATGGACATAACTAAATAAATTATTATTAATTAAAAAAAACTAAATGATATAACTGGTTAATTATATTTAATAAATATACAGTAATTTATAAATAAAAAATACTGTAAAATAGTAAATTGTTTTTAATATTTTTACATAGTTCTTAATTAAATAATTTTTAGAATTTATTGATAAATTATATTTTGTTTATATTGTAAATTAAATTACAGAAAATGTTTTGAAAACAACTATTTATGTTGAAATTAATTTAAATAATATAAATATATATTTTATTGATAACATTTTTTTAATACTGTATTTTGTATGTTTAAGAATAATTTAATTTTACTACTGTATGTACTGAACAAATACAAACATTTATATAATATGTTGCTTAGAAACTCTACAAATATAATTAAATTATTTAAATAAACTTGTTTTACAAATATATTTAGTTTTTTAATGTACTAAATGTCTAACAAATTATTTTACATAAAACTTATCAAATGTTTTAAAAATGTATATTTAAAAAAATTTATTTTTTAGTATTAAATATTTATATAAATTATATCTAAAAATTATATTATTCAACTATAATTTTTTATGCTAATAAATACACTAAAAGCAATAAAATTGTTTTAAATTAATTTTTTAAAGGATAATTAACATAATATCAATATTATAATTTGAGATTAGAACAAAAAATTTACTTATAATAATATATTATTAATATTAAAATTAAAAATTAAATAAATTTGATAATAATTCTTAGCAATGAATAAATTGTAATAATTACTGCAAATTATTTTTTCCACATTAAATATATATGAGAAATAAATTCAAAATTAATGACAACTAAAGCAGCGATAATGCCTGTAATCATAGGTCCCAATGCTATCTTCATGTCATCCAATATCATGTAATCTCTGTCCCCAACAATCAATTGATCATTATTTTTAGCAAATTGTTTAAAAGCCTCTTCAGCCATTTTATAGATTAAACTATTTTCACGAAATATATCTAATCTATAAATAATTTCTTAAGTTTAGTAAAATTTATGTATTATGTAAAATGATACTGTAAACTATAAATACTATAATTTAAACTAAATATGTACATAAAATATAGTTATAATTTTAGAGTTATTATAATGGATACATACATAACTTTGAGATGTCTTACAAACTTTACATTTTTAAACTGTTTTTGAACTAAAATTCCATAACATTGTTGAAAATATAGTTCATTAGCCAAATGAGTGTCTAATTTGTTAAAATATTTCAATGCATTAGCAAAAAATTCATTGCTTATTAAAACATATTTTCTATCAGTTATTATCAAAGTTAAAACATTTTTTAATTGACTATAAAAAAATTCTGGATAATTAATATTAATAAAATGTTTTTTATGTCCACTTAA